CAGGAACCACATGCACAGAAACAGAGTGTTTTACAGAAATCACATTCTGTAATTTTGCAAATCGGTAAGAAAAGGGGAAGGCATTATTATTACTAGATATCAAGGCAAAATAAATCCTTGCTTATGGATCTGCTTTATTAGCCCTTATATGAGATGCTGCTTAGCATAACTGTAGAACAACAGTGCCTCCCAATGACCAAAGCATAACTAACTCTCTGAGGTTCATATATTGTTTGTCAGTATCTCATTTTGCTTGTATCTGATATTTTATGCATTATTTTGACCACAACATCTCAGAAGATCTCTCTGCTAAGAAAGCTTTAATATTGAACTTCAAAATTAAAAGACTATCAAAGCATCAGCATAGATATCCCCTGCCAGAATATTCTGGGTTTTATGTGCAAGCAAATAATGTGACAGCAAGACCTGAAACATGAATGTCTAAAACCCCAAGAATACCTGGAAATAATGTGTTGGAAGTGTTCCTGTTACTGCAGTCATGAGAATATGTCAGTTAATCAATGTCTCAGTTAAGCATGTGTACTACTTTTCTTAATTGATTGCAAAACTAATTCACCAAATAAACGTTTTCCCTTTTTTCTATCCTGAACCAGGTCCTGATTATTTCAGTTCCAAGAATCTTGCACTGCAAGCCCAGAAGAAGATTCTGAGTAAAATGGCAACCAAAACCATGGCTAACATGCTGATCGATGACACAAGCAGTGAAATCTTTGATGAGCTGTACAAAGTAACGAAGGAACACACAAGAAACAAAAAGGAAGCCCATAAAATTATGAAAGACCTGATTAAAGTGGCAATAAAAATTGGGATCCTCTACCGAAACAATCAGTTCAACCAAGAAGAGCTGGAGATCGTAGACAAGTTCAGGAAGAAGCTGAACCAAACTGCCATGACAATCGTCAGCTTCTACGAGGTAGAGTACACTTTTGACAGGAACGTGCTTGCAGAACTTCTCAATGAGTGCAAAGACCTTGTGCACGAACTCGTAGGTCGGCACCTGACCCCACGGTCCCACGGGCGCATCAACCACGTCTTCAACCACTTTGCGGATGTGGAATTTCTAACTGCCCTCTACAGCCTGGATGGGGATTGTCGGCCATACCTCAAAAAGATCTGCAATGGCATCAACAAACTACTTGATGAGAAGGTTCTTTGAAGCTACGTTCAGAAGCAAGAAACCAAACAAAAACTTCTTTCTAGGACTGGCCACCCTTCATGAGCCGTGGTAGGCAAGTGAGCTTCCTTCCCATCAGTCTTACTGCAGCCCCAGCAGGGCCCAGAAAGTGCTCACCAGGCTCATGATGAAGTGGTAGACTTAAATCAGAAAGCTATCAATCTTAATGTTCTGTTCAGATAATCCAGTCTTTCTCAAGGAGTGGAGTGAACAAGGCTGCTGACCTGTGTTGTTCAGGAAGAGATTGCCATACAGCAGGATCTCGCTAGCTTTGTGTTCAAGGTTGAACATGAGAAAAGAAAGGAAACTCACATGCATGGCTATGTAAAAACAGACAGGTGAAGGCAAGAGCAACCCATGGAATTTACCCCCAGGCCCTTGGTGCATATATTTTTATTATTTCCACGCTACCTGAGAAAGCTTTGACAGAAAGTAGGGCTGTAATGGATTGAGTTCACTCCTTGCAAAGGGATCAGGAATTAATACAAGAAGACCTCTCTTAATTTAAACTGTATGTAAGTCTAATAGGGGAATAACAAATCATACAAACAGAGTAGAAGTGGGAGAAAATTTAAAGAACTGCTCAAGGAAGTAATATTTTCATCAGCGTTTTGGTTTATACCTGCTAATAGAAGGTTTCATTTTAATTTTGAAAATGAGCTCAGTGGTTGAAGCTCAAAGGTAACCAGAAAATTAAAATAGTCCAGCAGTTCCCCCACACTCAGGGTTTGTGTATTGGGTACCACCAGGCGAGTTTAGGCTGAAGGTTGTGCTGTGCTTTGTGCTCTTACTGTTCTGCCTGACAGAATAAAATACTCTTTGTGAAGATTTTGAAATTGCCCTTGTGAGAAGCACGACTGAGACACCCCCATTTCCATCCCCCATCCTCAAAGTATTCAGCCTCAACACCACTCTTGGTTCAACGTGCCCATGACATTTGTGCCTACAATAATCAGAGGTGGGATGCAACAGGAAGCCCATCCACTCTTCTTGCAGTGCCTCTGAGTGTAGCATATCCACAGTAGCTAAACAAGAGCAGCCTTAGGGACTCTGGGGAGTTTCTGGAATGAGTTTTGTTCCAAATGTTTTCAGTGGCTTTTTTTTTTTTTTTTAATGGCTTCAAGCTGAAAACATTTTGCCAAGAAAGAGTGGGGGTTATACAGTCCTTTTAGGATGAAGGGAGCATGGGAGCAGAGCAAATACACCAGCTTTGCCAGTTGTAGAATCGGGGTAGGTGCTGACTGACCCAGAGTAAAGGAAGCACGTTCAGAAATCTCTCCTCTCCTTGCCTTCCACATCTTATCCTCCAGCTCTAGCTCCTGACACTGCAGTATCAGGTATCCTCTCCTTTCATCTGGCACAGAGAGCAGACAATGCCATTATCTAGAGGTAACACCTTTCCTTTCATGTATATATAATACAGAGATGCATGTACTTGAAAATTGATAAAGACAAGAAAATATATTTGAAAGCCATTTCTCTTTTAAGGAAGCTTACAGGGTTGATCACTCACTACTTTAGGATAAGAAAAAAAATATTTCATTTAAACTCTTGAATACTATGGTGGTAGAGAAAACTGTTTAAAAAAATTATTATTCTTCTGTCTTTCCTCACTCCAGAATAACTGTATTTTATCTCTTGCAACAACAATTTTTACTATTACACCCTTATACAGTTGAGAACACACATATACAGCTCACATATTCACTTGGGTTGTGCTAGAGGGATTTCATCTGTTCCCAGAACTCATTTGAAACAGGGTAAAAATGAAAGACAGTAGCAGAGCAGTTTGTAACAATGTAAATTTTCCCCACCTATTTCCTTTAACCATAAGAAGTGTATTTAGTAGGAGTGAAGGTGGACAACTCCTTTGCAAAACAGAAATGAAATACCAACAGTTGGGGCTGCAAGTGCAGTCGTTTGCAGAGCCATATTTACATGCACATTCCCTGCATTTCTTCCAAGCACGTACTTGTCAACTGATGCTTTTGAACAGTATTTATTGTATCCAGTGCTCCTGTCCCAGTGCACACACATCAGATTTTGCGTGTTTCATTTGTGGCAAACAAATTTGTTTTTTCGAAAGCCAGAAAAAGAGATTATTCAACATTCAAGATGTCCAAAGGAAAGGGATATCCTGTACCTGTGACTTTTTGTGTGTTGCAAGTATCAATATTCCGATTCTGGTATTTTAGACACACCAGCTGAACATCTGTTGTTTTATTTATAAATAATCTGAGTAGCCTTAAAGGAAGAGGTGTTTTCAAGTATTTCTCATACTTGCGTATCCTGTATATTCATTGTTTACTTTTGTACTTGTAGCTTGGTATGTAATAACATTGCTAAAATATGGGCAATGTTCAGGTCACCTTAAGTATATTATGTATTATCACATTTGTGGATTAAAAATGTGTGATTACTGCCTTTTTTGTTTCCTTTTGATTCATTTATTCCACCATCCCTGTTGCATCACACGCACCCAACACCAGCATGTGTCAGCAGCAAATGGAATTTCTGTTTTTCCACAAAGTTCTCCAGCACTTGAGCTCCCTAACGATGCTGACTCGCTGTGTTTAGTGGAGCAGCCCCATCCCCAAGCTCAGAAACTCCCTCATAAGCCACGGGGAGGACATGGCACAGACTTTTTGCCCTCAGGTCCCACTTCTCCCTGGGCTCAGCCTGAGCCAGTGCCTGGCAGAGACATGGGCAGCCTGGGTCAGGGGCAGAGCATGGCACAGGCCAAGATCTCACTATCCAGCACCTTCTGGCAAGTTTTCCATCATGTATTTAGCTCAGTTTAGCTCCATGTGATTTAAACTACACGGAAGACACATCCCTGGCAGATTTGAAAGCCCTGCCCTAAACATGGAGGTGCTAGAACCTACCAGAATGTTTTAACAGCAGCAAGCACATATTCTCCCATCCTTATTCCCAGAAAAAGCAAAGTGTTTTGGCTGAGAGAGCTCAGGATTTGCAAACAACTCACACGGCAATTATACTGAAAGCAATTAAAGGCTGGCACAAAGAGAAAACTGACAGCTACCTTAAAATCTGAGTTTAAAGCAATCTTCCTAAGTGGTGCTTTGAACCTCCCTGCTGGTAAAGTATTGCTGTCAGGCTAATTTTATGAATCACATCATGGCAGGACACAACATTCTTTGCTTCATCAGCGCCAGCTTTACGTAATAAAGAGAAAAATGTTAATGTTTAAGAAACTCTCATGGGAGTGACCACTTCTAGCACTCTAATGAAATGGTCCCTGTACCACTGAGCAGCACTTCACACTGAGCATGTGACCTGATTTGTGATAGAAAAAGGTTCTTACAGAAGGGCACATAGATAGCTGACCCTGAAGAGAACCAAGAGGTAAAGCACAATTAACTCTTACCACAGCAACTGAAATGCAAAAGCAACTTTTACCTGGATGACTTAAGTGTGTCTATTTCCATTTTTACATAAATCATTGCCAGAAAGAGACAACGCACAAAGAAAAAGATAATACAGCTCTTTATGCTGAAAAACTACTGGTGGGATTCTATAGGAGACAAACATCTTTCCAATATTTAGAAACAATCGATGTCATATATAAGCAATTCACAAGTACAGGAAAACCTCAAGCTAGTGCCATCCATTACACAAATTTACTCTTCTGGGTCCTTAAAAGATGAGGAGGATTTGGGAATAATTAGCAGAAAGTAATACACCACAATAGATTTAACCTACATTTAAGAAAATATCCTACATCATACTGCCATGCTGCACTTCTTTCCATTTTCCTAACTAAGTATTGTTTCATTAAAAATATCTGAAAATACATGGGGCAAGGAAGGAGAAGCTGACCAAAGAGTTGAAATATAGATCCACTACAGTCACTTACCTGTAGACTCCCAAAATGTCCAGAACTCCAAGTTGCCCATGGCACACAGTAGTAAAACAATGAGGCCTCCTGGTACCCAGGTTTTGGTCCAAACATTGTTAACCTGCCAGTTCAGAAAGGTCATTTTATGCTCACTGGCCTCTGGTTGCCTCTTAAAAGCAAACTTCTTCATGCAAACCTATGTGCTCTCTTCCTTCTAGCCTGCAAAACAGCCTAAGCCTTCAAGATCTACCAAGTCACAAAGAAAATTAAATGGAACCACCACTGAGGAGGAAGATACTCACAAAAGGATTTTCAATACGGAACTAAATGGAAAAATATTCCTTTGGATAATTATCTAAGCAGTCAGAGACAGATGGATGATGGATGAAGACCAGAGGGATTTCCAGCACTGAACTGCTGAGGTTCTCAAGGGCCTGAGTTCCCCAGCTCAGCCAGGACTCCTGTTCCACACTGGCAGCTTTCTTACACAAACCAGCCCCCTGACTTAGCCCAGGGCTGAACCTGCAGTTCAGCCATTATGGCAAACTCCCCAAGCTCCCCCCTCTATAGCAAGTGCTTTCTTATGTTAGCACTGAACTTAAAAAAATGCTATTCCTGTCAACTATGAATAACAAGAGATACTCAAGTCTCTGGTGATGCCTAAAACCAAAACACACTAGCTGGCAGAATTCCAAAAAGAGGACTGTATAAAGTGAGCAGGCACGCAGAATTCTGTTCCAAATATCTAAAGTGTATTCTTGCAATCTTCTGGTATCTCCAAGTGAAACACAGGATATTTAAATCACCAATGGATTCAAGACTTCTGTAGCATTACAGTGTTCTTCACTGTCCAGATGCAAAGAGAAACAATTAACATAGAAACTAGTTCTTAATATGCAGAAACACTGCTACATGTAGTGCCAAAGAACATGTAACAATTATTAAGCTAATTTTTTTTAATAAAACTGAATTTTATTAAACTGCAAGAAATGCAAAGATGGTGATAGATTCAGAACAACATTTGCTGGGCAATCCAAAATAAAGACCAACACAGGTACAATTCCCTGTAAACTCCTTTAAGTGGTGTTACCATGAAGCAATTAGAATATTGACACTTTCACATATATTATTCATACAGTGAAAAAGGTTACAAAGAACATTACATGAGCAACAGAAGGCATTGCTGTCTTTTGCTGTTTTTTTTAAACACTAGGACATTGAACATCTCATTGCTGAAATGGTTTGAATGCATAGGCCACAAACAGATACTTGTATTATAGTTTCTATGATTACAGAAGTCCAATTGCATAACACAATTTACCAGCAGGGAAATAGTTTGCTGGAAATTATTCCACTATAAATCAGTTTTCATTTATATAAACTGTCTTGAAGTGCCAAGTAAACATTAAAGTATGCAGAACATTAAATATATTTACAGGTTCAGTGCACTTTAAATTCCTCAGTAAGAGGTTACTGAAACAGCAATAAAAACAGCTTTGCTTGTACGATTATACTTGTGATAACACAAGTAGCTTGACTTAAAAAAACCCAAACTATCAGCACATTAACATTCTTACGACAATTTCATCAACATTTACCAAAACATCAAAGTAACAATACTTTATTTTTCTTTACAACCAGTGCTTATCAGGTGAGAATCAGTAATGCTGAAATATAACAGTTTCCTTGTTACTATTAAACACACAAAGAGAATTCCACTGTGGAATCCGTTTATACCATGTCTGAACCGTGTGTACAACCTTTGATGTTTTTAAATAGAAAACATGACCAGCTATAAATAATATTAAGCAGTACTAGTTTTCATTTAGCATTTAAATAAATTAAGATTGCTGGATTTTCAAGACTGTGAGGTTATTTCAGGAAGAGAAAACAACCTCCTCAGACACAGTTTCCATGTATGCTGCTCTGATATAATCTCTCATGCCTTGCTGCAGTTCCTAGCAGTGCACACACAACATCTGTGCAAGTCAAAGGTTTGAGGAGTCAGACTGAGCTTATAAATAATTACAAGTAAAAATAAACGAAAGTCTTCCCCATGTGAATTTTCATGGACAGGGATACTGGCCAGATTAAGTTTACAGGATTGACCGGTTCACTACCCAACAACCAAAGATAGCATGTCCACAGCCAACTACCCCCAGCTCAGCCACCTCAGACTCGATTCACATCAAACTTTGCTTTAGAGATGCACAAATATTCAGCGACTCTCACAAAGCCCTATGGAAAGGGAATAAGACTGAAACACGAGGCAGGAAGAACTGCAGACAGGGACTAACCTGGGCCTTAGATCATCCCCCAGGAGGTGCTTCCATATCATCTCACATCCCCGACTCCTATCAAAAGCCTGTTTGGATGTTACCACTTCCATGGTAAATATCAAAGATCATGGGAAGTGTTTTGTTCCCTAGAATCTTTCAACTATTTTAAAACTGTGCATTTGTTGCTACATAAGTTACTTTATACAACCACCAGTATGGGTCTTCTTGCCAGCAGTGCTTAAAAATAGCTTTAGAAAAATTACCAAAATAAAATTAGATGATCCTGATAACTGATCAAGTCTGACCTTATAATGGAAATATGTTTTTCTTTAAAATCATATTTAAGTAGTTGCCATGAGAAGTAATTGTTGGCATCTATAAAAGCTGCGTAATAAAAATAAATACTTTCAGTCATTTACAACAAAATTAAGAAATATACATTTCACAGAAACAGGTTACAATACTTTAATGTACTGTACAGTCCTGAGCATGTTTTTGCAGGCGTAGCTTAGGTCACTGTTCTTCCCCCACAAGTCCACATGACGTATGCCAGCTGGAAGAAAACTTCTAATAGTTCAAGAAGCAGTATCTTAGGTTAGCTTTGGTAATTATCTGTGCAACTGTATAAATCTTTTCACACACCAAACAGGTTAAGGCAGGCACTATTGTTATCAGGATTCCCCCATCACCTTTTGACACTGGTAGAGCAAACCATCTGGAAGAGCAGCACAAGGTGATCTGAACCACACAGCCAACATCCCTGAGTGAGTCCGGCAGTGCAGCAGGCAGGGCACAGATGGAAGCAGCTGGCATGCCAGTATTCCCTCATTACCTTAAAACAAAAGAGACCACAGAAAAAAAATGAAGTAACAAGTAACAATTGCTATAGGATACTTCATAAATGTATCTTTCAAACTCCATGTCTGCTGTTCTCTTCTACCCATACCTCTAACGCATCACCACAAATCACACTAAAACCCCAGCTTCATATTTGTCCCACAGCTTCATTCCCTTCTTTTTGTCCTATCCAAAACTCTCCATAATGCAAGTTTCCTCCTTTGTAAAATCTACTGCTTGTTGTACACTTGTATGTTTACATCACCTTCACACAGACCCCCAGGTGAGGTAAACAAAGTCCACAGGAAAACAGTCCTGGGTTTACTGTCCTGCCAAACATTCCCTGCCCCAGACTCTAAAATACTCACTTCCATGCACTTATTTTTGTGGGAAAAGTTATATTATATATGTATACCCTATATGGTACACTTTCACTTACCTATAATGTCAACTATATGGAGTTTCAGTTTCTGTTGCAGTGTATTCAAGGCTGCTGAAAGGGAATCTTGGGAAGACAACATTTTTATATTCTGTTTCACATCATTGGAAAGGGACAACCACAGCTTTCCAAAGTCTTCTGTAGTCATTTCCATTGGCCTAAAAAGAAGATCACCACATATTTTAGCAAAATGACATACGTAAGAATATATTTGGTCACAAAAAAAAAAAAATCATATCTGGAAGCAACTGGGCAAGCAATAAGCAAACTCATATTAGTTTCAACAAACTCCTCTTAACATTTACAAAAGTTTCTATTCCTTGCTTTAGATTTCTAAATTTTAAAAGAATAAATTTATGGATTTCACTTCAAAAAGACAAGTCTGCTGGAGTAAAGGACGCTTGTTTTTTCTACTCCTAAAATAAATGCAGTGTTCAGAAATTAAAAGAATGAGCTTTCTTCTTCCTCTGCAAAAGTTGTCAGCTTTTTTATCTAACGTTCTGTCCCTGCACTCAAATCACTTGTTTCAGTTTGACATGTTTACATTATGCCATATTTTAAAACAGCATGCCCTTCTGTTCACTCAGTTTTCAGCCTCCTCAAAAACATATTCTGTAATCCAATACTACTCTAACCTGCAGCTACTGTCAATATTCTCACTGGACTTGTACTTCTTGCTGGAACTTTGCCCCTTTTTTGGAAGCATAAAATAACCCTTTATTATCTTTAACAGTAACCTCAGATTAAAACTAGCTGCTCAAGAAAGAGTCCTATATTTTCATAGTCAACACCCAAATCATCCTGCTCTTGTCTAATACTGAGTAGAGTACAGGTGTTTTTAAAAACTGCAGCTTTTTTTATTTACCTGATGAAGTCCATCAGTGACAAAGTTACTGAAAATTCAAGGCAAGTTTCCATCTCTGACTGGTAATTAACAGAGCCAGAAAGAATCCCCTGGGTAGAGATTTTGTTCATCCTCACACATTTCTGGCAGTGTTCCAAACTTTGAGCTTCAATTACAGGAAACTGGTGGGAGGGACTCTCCAAAATCTATGGGATGTTTAAAAAGGAATATAGAACATAAGTCTTGCTGTCAAGCTGTGCAAGTGATCAAGATACAGCTATAAAATTGTGTAACTCCCTTTTATTTTCATTGGTTTTTCTTGGACTATTTGACAAGTGAACAGAACTGCTATTTCTCAGCCCTCAAGAAGGATAAATCAATAATTAACATCCACAAGTGTTCTATGAGAAGTAAAACAGTGGTGAAACTCATCTCTGACAATCGGCTTCCCGCATCTCTGAATAACTGCACCAAGAACCTGAATTCCATAGTTCAGTCCCAAAATATAAGCAAGTAGCATTTGCAACATACCTCAAGCTATATGCTAAAAGCAAGAAGTTGAGAAATCCTCCCTAATAAAAAGGAGGATTTCAAGATTACTCAGCAGTCCTCAGCCTCTCCAAACAAACCAGTAACATGGATTCTTTCCATGGCAGTGGTCTGCGTGGGAACTTAAGTGAATTACAGGAAAAAACTAGACATGAGATTCCCACTTTCTATCAATGACAGGTATGATTCAAGTCAGAAATGGAAAGGAAGGAAATTCTATAACCAATTAGCAGTTCCTTTCCTGTTTAATTCTCTTTATCCAGTTATCACTTGCTGTTTAATAATTCTGCATTTCTTTTAGCAAAATCTGTGGATAGTCATGCTGATACACAATTCCTAGCTTTCTTTCCAAATATTTAAATGAAATTTCAGTCAAGACTCTAATATGCTTTTACCAACCCCAGTTAAATCCCACAGGTAGCCAATGCAAAAAAATAAACTGACCGACTCCTCTGCACCATCAGCTGAATGCATGAGAATGAAATATGACTGGTAGCTTTGGAAGGGAAAAAAATTGAAGCAAACCCACACAAATTTTATGTCAGGGAAGCAACTGCATCACGTTTGCCTATAAGGTAAATACAAGTGAAAGCACAAGCCTAACAGTCACACTCAGACAAAAAAAAGTTACACAGTGAATTCTTTAACAACTCGAGTCGTCCCACTCTGAGTACAACTGGTTAGGTTTGCATTCAGTCTTTGCATTCAGAAGTGAGAAATCACACGTATTTATTACATGGAGGCAAGCACTAGGAAACAAAGTCAAGGGGAATTAAAAAAGTGAGATGCTAATTTTTAAACCAAGTAAGTTTTATATTGAGATTTCTTTCGCTGCCCTTCAGAATGTGTGTAACAGCTGTAACCACAGGTTTTGAGGAAATACTTTAGAAAAAGGTATGACATTAAAGCAAGCATTGCACAGTGAAACGCAAGTGAAAAGCGAGAAGTTCCACAAGCATTTCAAACACAATGGAAGCACAATTTCTTACCTGAAAGTGTTCTGTTTCTTCAAACACTAAGTTCACAGCATTAAGTGCAGAAGTGCTTTTATTGGAAACTAAGACAGTGAGCAATAGAGAGTCATCTGTCCACACCTTACATAAATACAGAGCTAAGGCATCACTCTGACAAAGATTCACTACCTCAGAGTGAGGAAGCTCTTCAAGTTCTTTTGGTAAGGAAGGAACCAATGGTGTTTCACTGGCACTTTCACACTGAGCACTTGGAGAAGGCTGAAAAATTTCAATATTGCTATCAGCAAACAAAGATGACTGTGACAGCCTATTATCTGAAAGTCTGTCATCCAGCACAGATTTTTTAAGGGACTGAGGTGTTTCAAACACTAAATTATCTTCTACATTATCTGAAGAGCACAGGGAGGCTTTCTTTAACCTTGTGTGTGCACTTTCCTCAGAGTCTTCTGTGTTAATAGGTACTTTATCAAGTAAGGGACCAAAATCTGAAGAACCACTATTTTTGAAGTCTGATGCCTCCTCACTATACTGAGGTTCATTTATCTTTGATTTCCTTTTGAACTTCTGAGTAGCTGTGTCTGCTTTCCCCAGCTGAAAAAAGATAAAAATGAAAAATGGTTGGAGAATTTTCTTGCAAAGAGTTCTGTTACTATTAACACAATGAAACAGTGAGCAGGGACAAGGAATCAATACAGATGACAAATACAAACAGATTCCAGACATTTTAATGGATTCAGGCTTTTGCTGTATTTCTTACAGGGTACTAAATTAGCTTATAATGCAAGTATGACTCTAGGTTCCCTTAACAAACTAAAACCTCTTTCTAAAAACTAAGCACAGCTAAACAGTTTCTGGTTAACCAGTCATAAATGCCAAGAGGTGAGCTGGCTAATAAGATGCCAGTCTTAAAAAGATTACTTAATGGTGAATTCTTGTGTTCCAGATATTACCTCACACATATAAAAATTGTCTTGACACAGGGGTGTCAAGCTCTAGCCTTACTACCACAACAGTGGCAAGAATGGCAACAGCTCTGCAAAGCTGGGTCAAGGAACAATTGTTCAGGAAATTGTGATTTAAACTTGAAGCACAACATGTAAGCAGAGGGAAGTTCTAGTTACCAAACCAGATCTGGTCCAGATGTTACTTCATCAAGTAATATCCAAGCTGTTTCATGTTCTTAACAAATTACCAGATCACAAAAGTAATTTTCAGTAGCTCTTCAGTTACTTAGGGGAAATTTGCCTTACAAAATTTTATACTGTCTTGTCAATATTTGTCTTATAATTTGATCTTTGTTTGCATACAAGTATCTATAATTTTAAATGAGGCTATATGTAAACTTTAAACTGTTAAGTCTCAAAAGAATCACTTACCAGACTGACACCAGCACTTGGTCCCAGCCCAACAAATAAGGTTGATGCTAACTGCTGCTTCTCTTTGTCTTCCTCAGTGAGGCTGGCACCCTGATCAGACCTCAACACAGGAGGGTCACCCGCCTGTCCTGCTAATAAGCTGCCACAAGAAACTGTTTGTGGCTCATTTTCTTTCCCTACTTTTTCTTTTTTTGGAAGATAACCTTCTTTTCCCCACAGCTTACGTACTCCTTCAAGTTTCAGAGTATTTGTCCTAAAAAAGCAAACAAAACAAAGCAAGATCAGCCATATGAACATCATGTTCTTAAAAACACACCAATACTCAAATACCATTCACAACTTTGGGACTTTGATAGACACAGTGAGCAGTGAAATATAAGTGAACACTTGCATCTGCATGAAGTTCAATGTCAGTAATGTTACATTACTTTTAAAACATCCCACAAATGTAAACTTGCACTATGCTATACAGTACTTAAGTACAGACCTGTATTAAGCAGCATTAAACACCTGCAACCAGTACTAGACTGTGTTTCCCATCTCCACCCAGAGTTTCAGACTACATTTATAACATATTTGAGTAATTTTTTTTAAAAAGTGAATATAAGCAACATGGTATCTATCTTTCTCCCCAGGAGAAAGGTTCTGGGAAGACATTTTCCCAGAAAGATTCTGTAAAGTTTTCCTGCATACCAATTTACAGGAATATGAGCTAATTTTTTAATTTGTATCAAGTTATGGATCTGGAATAGTTGTAAAACTTAAGAAACATCTTATACTGCAAATCTTATCCTCACTTTTATCTCAAAGAAGTTTCCTTAAAAGGCACATTATTAAGTATTTTTTCTCTGTAATCTTTTTCTTAGAGGTTACACTTGCTTTTAATGGGAATACAATAATTTAATCATCAGGTAATCTTGTCCCCATTTTACTGCATCTACTACCACCTAATTTGTAGTATGTGAAGAAGGTGGAAAAAGAGTGTAACCACATTAATTTTTCTAGTAATTATAAAGATGCCATCATCTGAATTATTTCTTCTACTTGACAGACGTTTCCAAGTTCAACTGCGTTCTTCCTAGTTCCATGTAATGAAGCAGCAAACACATGATACTGACAACAAACAGAAGCTTAAATGGGCATCATTTCAAACACAGATTAACTCACTCTTTGTGCCCTGTCTCAGCACTATTACCAGATGTATCAGAACCAAAAGATAAACCAGTGGGGGACTGTCTGCCGGTGACACCAGAAGAGGACACACTTGAAGCAAAGGACAATCCGTAAGGTTCAAAATTCAGAGCTGCAAGACAGACAAAATTACAATGAGGCAAAAAAAACCATATATTCCTGTACTGCTGGACTTCTCAGGCTTTCACTTTAATAATCTCCATAAATTTTTAATCCTATAACCAGCATAGATTATAATAAAACTTTCTTCCATGCAAAACAACAATCTATATCCATCAGCTAGAATGATGTGGAACTAAAATCTAAATTGAACTTAGCTCTTTTCTATAGACAACAGATGTATTAAGATACTATTACTTTAAGAAAATATATTAACTGTACACTTGAATTGTTAATACTTATCAGGTGATTTACCAGCTATTAAATAAATGCAGTAAACTTTCACCTTTTTCCTGAGAAAGCTTCTCCTCTTGCCTCTGGTGATGAGGCTTATATGGTGCTGCCCCACGACCAAGCCCTTCAGCCACAAACCCATCCAGAAAAGATAAGGAAGCATCTACCTACACAGAATTAAAAGGAGTGAAGAGGCAATGAAAATATTTGCTATATCTGAGCCTGGTGTTACCAGTAGAATATTGTGTCTTATCATCAGATAAGGATCAGAGCAGGCCTACCATGTCTTTAAAAAAAACCCAAAAGACAACTACAAATAAGCCACTGTGACATGATAATTTTGTTAAAAGCAACTCCAGCTTAACATTGTGATTCTTTATCTTTCAGTATAGAACATTATGATTCACCACGTACGTCTGAAAAAATTGTTTCTGAAAACTCACTTTAAGCAGACTTGCACCAGTCAGAACTGCAAACACCATTCATTTTGAAAACACTTTTTTACCAAAATATTCAAACCCCTGAACTATAAAGAGCTTCCTGAAAAACAAAAACTGCAGCCGTCTTACCACCATATCACTGCAACTAGCATCAAATGGAAGCAAATTTTTCATCAGTGCTTTGTCTTCACACAGATGTTTCAATTCAAAGGCATATTGTCTTATGCAGGTATCTAGAGAGCTGCTAAATTCTTGGATTAGTTTGTCAACTGTTTCTGAACAGGAGGTATGTGATGCTATCTTAGTGACTGCAGCCATTATCCACGCTTTAGTTTCAGAAGTAACATAAGTCTTCTTCAGCAGGCTGTGTAGTTTTGTCAAAATAACTTCTGGATCGACATCTGTAACAAGACTGAAATATTCTCCCAACACCTATTCACAGAAAAACAGACAAAATATGCCCTTAGTCACACAGAGCAGTGCTTTTAGTTTTGAAATTAGAAATATAGTACTAAATAACACTACAAAATCCACCTCACATTCAAGAAATAATTATTTGAACATCTTCTAAATTATTTTTTATAATTTTGTGTTTTAAATGTCAAAGGCTTGAAGTTATCTTTGTGTTTACCTCAGCAGACTCCAACTTTTAGCTTCTTAAAAATCCAACAGCTGTCTTGGAAAAAAAAGCTAAAGATAACTATGCCCTGACAAAACCCAACTTGCTCACGCTGCAGCCTCTCTCAGGGCTGGAAGCTGAAGCTTACCCAGGTACCAGATAATACCACCACAGCACCTGCCCAGGCATTTGCAAGGCTAAAACTGCATTTCACAACCACATCTGGCCTAGATCTGATGAAGACAGAAAGGCTCTCAACGTGCAGCCAGGTTCAGGTGGCTGCCAAGCCATTCCAACAGTCACCTGCCTTAAAGGGAGCTTTTCTACAGCTTTTCTACAAACTACAAGTTAAGTAGTCTTTGGTCACCAGCAGGTCACTGAAACAGGATTTCATCATATTAGCTTGATTTCAAGTAAAAAAAAGTACTCATGACTAAAAATACAAGAGTCTAATAAATGTTTATTAAAAACATCACCACCTTTGACAGTTTCCTCATATTTGTGCGTTGGATTTTGACCACGTGTCTACCTTACCCAACTCATAACTTGAAGGAATTTCTGTGGATACAACGCATCTTCCTCTCCAAGTAGTGATAAATAAGACTGCACTGCATACACCCGTAGCTGATGATCCTCATTCCCATCATCAAATCCTAGACAGAAAACAATATATAATTTCCATGAAACACAAATACCAAATCCTACCAAATATTTCTGAGTACATTTTAAGAAAAAAAAAAAAAAAGCAAATACAGGTTATTAAGCAGTATGTCATTCTTCAGAGTATTCAGGGAGCTGCTCACCTTCAGCCAACAGCCTCAGAAAGTTGTTTGGGATATCAGGATGCACAACATCCCCCCCAGCTGAAAACACAGCATTCATTGTCTGGATGAACCACTCGTTGTTAGGAGCATACGTGTCCAGATGTTAAGGAACGAAGTGCTAAGGTATAACTTTGTGTTTCTTACTTGTGTATTTCCTAAGGAATACTCATCTTAATCTCCCCAGTAAGCTGGGGATCTAAAGGTCAAATAGCAGCTCAGTCTAACTGAAGAGGAAATTTTCCTGCATCTTGTAGAAAGCATTTCCTGTAAATTTCATGCAAACTGGTAGTCAGGTAGAGAAGTGTTAAGTTACTGTTGAAAAAAATTGTCAAGTAGACCTCACACAGTAGGAACAGACATGTTCACATATGTGAACTACTCTATTTTAAGCTCAAAATTGTCCCATGCTGGGGTTCCAGCATAATCTTTAGAGTTTCTTTACCCAACATCACTTGATCAATGACAGAAAAGCTGTTATTTTCAGCAGTGTTTTGCTGTTGATTTGCAAAGTTTAGGAAAACAAGGAACATTTTTAAGCACTCCACAGAAAGCATTACTGGCTTTTTTAACACATTTAAAAGTTTCTTAATATATTTAAAATTTGATCACCCTTTGCTAACTTTGAAAGTTTGTTTCTGCCTTCCCTCAAGTCCTGAAAATGCAATTACTGAATAGACATTTTCAACAGTATAGAAACATTGATATTGCATACAGCAGGACAACATAGCTCTTTTTTTTGTACACTACTCTGTTCCAAGCAGTGTACAAATAGGATGGTAAGGTAGCTTTCTGTTAAAAAACACTTACAACTCAAATTATCAGACAGAAATGCACACAGAAAATCATGCAGTGGCATGTCTAACAGTAATGTCCATCATATGCCAATCCCTAACCAGCACTTCCACCTTTTTGGCATTGTTAAGGAATCTTTTCTTTATTTCTATCAAAGTGTGTTATTCTTCAAATCAATATAGCAATGAAGAGTTAGTTCTCTGACAGATCATTTCCACAATTACAGAATAGCACTCCCTCCTCCACTAGTGTAAGACTTCCAAGTTTGAATTTAAAACCAGAAGGCTTTAATGCTAAACTCCAAAGCCAAAATAAAATATTTTGAGTGCCATTACTTTCTCTCAGTGAAATACAAGGAGCACAGCAGTCATCTTTGTAAGTGTTCTCTTTTGCATACTTTTTTTTTTTTTTTTGCATTTGAAAGAGTGGAAAACACAGTTGGAACACTTCCTGTTCCAAAAGATCATGAAAGATGCTTAGAAAGGTATAAATGTTATATTTGCCTGAGCTCTGACTTCAAAGTTTCAGAAAAATAAAAGGATATTTCTCAGCTAGTTCAGAAAAATAAAAGGATATTTCTCAGCTAGTTCTGCTACTTTGGCAACTAGGTTGATGATAGTATATTCTTCTTTACTTTCTTTTAAGTAGTCGAGCATCTTCTGAACTATGACAATGACATTCTGTCCATTTGTAATCCTATAGAGAAGCTCTAAAGTCTGCAAGAGAAAGCAAAAAAAAACCAATTCATTCTAAAGACACAAAAAAGGAAGCAGGAAAACAGCAAAATTAGTATGATGCCAAGTTGAGCAACTATATTTAGCAAGTTTTAAATTAAATACACTGATTATCTACAGAGCTTGTCACACATTAATATTGGTTAAACTATTCTCTCACAATAACTGAAAGATAATATGCCTTTTACACTACCAATGTCAGAAAAACTATCTCCCATCTCAAAAATTAACTTAATTTTTGACATTTGGAAATTCACTCACCTCCCTTTTAATAATGGGATCTGGATGGTCCAGACATTCAATTATTGTCATCTGGTGCTGAAGGGCCAGATTAGGATCCTGCTGGATGACGTAGGTCAGAGCCTTTAAACCTACAATGTGATTACAAGTGATATAAGACAATGCATACTACTATGGCCACATTCAAAACAGGATAACGAAATCAGGCATCCTTACCTAAGTATTTCAAATTAATCTTGGGTGACAAAACAAATTTTCCAATGCACTTGGCAGCTTTTTCAAGTAGTTCAGATTTGGGATAAATTGTATAAATTGTTTGGACACATTCAAATAAGATGGCTGCAAGGGGGGGAAGACACATTATTAGTGGGCATTAAATACTCCTATAATTCAGAATTTTTTAATAAACAAGCTCAGTGACTGTCTCAAGGAATTGCAATGCTGTCCCACCCCCAGTGAACTGAATCACAGAGTACCCACTGACATAAGGAAAAACAGGATGAAAGTCTATCTCTTTTACTATATACATATTTTTATTAGCCCTTGCCACTGTCCATACAAGTTTCTGTCCCTAAAGTTCTTCCAACCTTGAAGTCTCCTATAGTCAATCAAAGCTCTGGACTGGGACAGTCTGCAGAAAGCCAATGAGCAACTCTTAAGGATTTGAGACAAAATATTTTTTGATAATTCATACGATGTCTTAGCTTCTAACAAGAGCCAAAATCATCCCAAGAACAGTCTTGTTAAAAAAAAAAATATCCCAAAATGAAACACAAACCAAAAAAACTTTGTAGAATTGTTTGAGAAAAATCTAGAAGTAAACTGAACAACACACAAAAAGTAATTAATCCTTTGTGGCAACAATCTGGGCAAAGATTCAGACCGAGTTAGTCTCCCAAGTTAATTGGGGCTTAAAATCATGATGTAATTTTCAGTTGCTCGTGTAATTCAGTCACTAACTCAACTGTCCAGTAGAAAATCCCCTGCTCTTTGAAAGTGTTGCAAAGCTAAATCTGAGGAAGACTAGCATACAAATAACTAAACAGAAAGAAGAACATGCAATAATCAATTACTTCATATAAGAAAGAGTAATCACTCAGAGCTACATTTTTCTTTTGTCTGGATCAAATGGTTTCACAAAACACTTAATCATAGGAGAACAAAAACTACATACCTAAATCCTATCCTTGTACAAATCATAATGAACTGCCCACTTTGGCCCTTTAAGTGCTTAAAACAAATTTAATGTTTAACTCTTAGCAAGTGCAAATTGTCTGTATTACAAGGCAACACACCTCCCAATATCTCTATGTTCTTGCCTGAAAGAATAGAAGCAGTAAACGGAATACTCTAAATGTTTGACAGATGCTTCCTCATTTATTATTTACTAAAAGAATACTTCCCCAAAGCTCCCCTTTTTAGTGGAAGTAAAGCCTCCACAATGCTTTATAACATATGTAACAAGTAGGTGTTAGACACATCTACAGCTCTGAGCCATGTTCCTTTTTTTTTTTTTTTTTTACCCCTTGGTGTTTTAACAAAGTCTCAATTTTCTTTCCATTTCATTAGCATGGGGATTTTGGCACATCAGCAGGGCTTTATTTTAACAATAAAATAATGGGGGTGTCAGGTTTTTTTAACAGTGAAACAGCTCTTAATGTAGGGTTCTAGAGCATCAGATCTGGGAGTTTGGGGAGGTATTAAGACCTGGGGAGGAGAAGATAAAGAAAAAAAAAATACAAATAAATTGCTCAACCTTTTAGTAGAAAATAACAGTGCAATTATTCCTTTTGCTTTGTTCTAGCAACAAAACCAGCTTGCTATATTGAGCAGGTAATGAACATCTACCATAATGAATCTTCTACTCTGTTTTAGAAATGTTCCATTGAGATGTGTGCCAAAACCATTATTGTCACAGGCAGCACTATCACTGAGCTCTGAAGGTGGAATGTTTATTAACTGTGCCCAGAAGATAAGCCCTACCCAGCTGCAAAGAACAAACACTGGCACTCTTGCACACCATCTATTGCCTTCCTCAGGGCAGCAAAAAGAAGATCTAAGCATTTCTAACAACCAGAGCTAAATCAGTAGGATTTTCTTTTATTGTTTGTTTCAACTTAAGCAATGTCCAGTAAGAGCTTTCATGAAGAAGTTGACTTTCTGTATTCAAGGGCAAAGCCAACGCAAACATAGTTGAGCTTCCGAGTTAAAATTAATTCCCTGTATATAAAAATGTTTTACTTCAATGATAAAAAAATTGCACTGTACAGCAATGTATCACTTGTTCTACTGTTTACTAGTTGGTCATTCAAGAATATTATTAAGAAAATAATTAGATTTTTCTAAAGCACTCTGTAAGTATTTTGGCACAATCAACTACTCGCAATTTTCAACCTTTTCAAAGACTGACAGTTACACAAAATAACCTCACCCACCATATGTAATATTATGATTTATCTCTGCTCTTCTTAAAGATTCATCTAGAACCTCATACATCAATTCACTTGTCCTGTTCAAGAAAAAATATTTAAAATTAATTGCAGCACTAATAAGCATGTGGTCTTATTTTGCCCCACAGCTCAAGGATTAGTATTGAAATTGGAACACTGTTCATATCCACAAATTCACTTTAACACAGAGGAGCTCTATAACAAGTTCCTAAATGGCATTTAACAACATGTTTGCAGCTTTCAAAAGAAATATTTACCACATCACAATAAAAACACTTCCCTTACTGTTTGTATAAATAAAAAGAAAAGATAACAGGAAAAGGATCAGAGACAACTAGGCCCTCCCAAAATGGCAGCACTTTGAAAATAGCTTTACTCTGGATTTTCATACAGTTATTTGGTAACCTTGTAATAGAAGTCCCATAAAAAATACGTATTTTAAGAATATTCCACAATTGATTGTTTAGCCAATCCAAAAGTTAAGAAACAAATTTTGCAGAACTAGTATGCTCACTGTCTTGATTAATAACAAACATATAAGAAGGTTAAAACTGAAATCCTTCTTAAAAAACCCAACCAAGTGAACTCAAAACAGAAAGGTTCAGGCTGTGACTGTACTCTTTGTACCTTCACATTATTAATCACAGAGAAAGATCTCGTTACCTTGGATCATCTTTTCCTAACAGCCCCAATATTCTTAAAAGCTGAATTTGCAACCATGGTGCTGGCACACTGTGATAGTTGAAGTCCGAAGAGAGCTTTCCTCCCACTACCTGCTTTAGGATGGTTACAAAACTCCCAGTCAAGTCCTTGTATCCAGATGAGTTTTCCTACATAATGAAAAACAAATACAATTCAAACATTTTGTTATAGCAACTCAAAAGTAAAAACAATCCAAAACTTGGGTAGGATCAAAACATCTACGCTGATGGTTCCATTTCTTTAAACTGAACTTCTACTCTCGTTCTCCAACACCCATAAGCTCTTCACTTTAAGCCTATGCTCTTTTCTCACACATTTGGAAAGGGAGCAGATGTAACATTTACAAGCAAATTCCATCAAACCCTTAAACACACTGAAGAACTGAGATCCTCCAGCTAAGGATCCAACGATGCTGAGCATTCAGATCATGCAAGAAGTGAATCTGTCAAGCTAAACAGAGAGCTGGCATAAACAAACATAACACAGATGCCCACCATCACATAAATTAACTTTTCTAAAGATTAAAGTAAGTTTCTCTGCAAAACTTCTGTACAGCAGCACACTGTGGATTTAAAATGAGAACCTACAAAAATAGGTTCTTTTAGCTTCCAGTTCTTTGCCTACCTTAATCATTTGAAGATAAATATGCAGAGAGGCAGCCATGACTCCAGCATCCCTGTCACATAGGGCTTTCCGGAACTTATCATGGATGTGCTGAACTTGGTTAGGAGCGATGAGATAGAACTTATATAAAGCCTGAACAGCTTTTCTTCGGATAATTTCCCTGAAATGAGATTTACACTTAGCAAAATGAAGCCGCTTGTGTATTTTAAGTACTTCACATAATAACTTGCACTTTTTATTTCTAGAGCACTGTAAAATCAAGTGGTCAGCCATCTCTCATGCAGAGAGATGAAAACCTGCGTTTTACATATTTGATAACAAATGACTTTGCAAATACCGCCTAAGTGAGGAAGTGACAATGCAAACTTTAAAGCCTATTAGAGCTTGATGTCAGATTGATTATTCAAAAGAATGGCCAGCAAATAAACAATAAAATAGGCCATGACTAATCTTTTGTGGTGATATGTGCAGCTGCAAAAAATACATGTCTAGAAGTTACTGAGTCAGTTCATTCTACAGTTCTCTTTCTAATCAACACAATTACATTATTATCCTCTGTGTAGGGGATATTATAAACTAAGATTCAAACAACTGAATCAAGGGTATTCATATCTGTAGACATACTTTTATCAAAGTTGCTATAAAGAGCTTTATTAAGAAAAAGTATCAGTGAAGTTCAAGGATCCTAATCTGTTCCTCCACCTTCTCTACAAACATTTCTTCATCCCTGTTCATTAAAAGGACTCCAGGAAATAAATTCAATCACATTTATCTATGAAGACTGGCTATGAAAAAAATTAATACCCATCCAGTACTCAGTCAAGGTTCAAATAAACGAGATTATAATCCAAGAGTAAAAACTAGGAGGAACAACTTCTAAAGGCAATGATTAGAAAGACCTACTCAGAGAAGACACACCAGTTTACTACCTACAAAATTAAGTTATTCAACCACACAAGGCCATTTAAAATTCAGTAAATTAACACATACTTAGAGTGCTGGAGCTTGTCTTCTATTAGGGGAAGAACAGCTGGAATCATCTCTCGTGGAAAGATCTGGCTGACAACAGTTAATGCCATGCACACCTCGACTAGATTAGTGCTCTGTAAGTCCTGAAATAAGACAGTAATTTTTAACTTAGACTTTTAAATTCCAAACAGACATATCCCAAATCTTTCCCAAGATTGGATCTAGCCCACCTACACAGCCCAGCCACTGCCAGCATCCTGCTGTCTGCTCATGTTTGAGACGTGTCAGCTCCCACTGAGCTCATCAGGTTCTCCCCTTATACAGCAAGAAGGAACAGGCATCTCCTCACACTGGTGTTATAGAGATGTGTACATTTAAAATGTGAATGTAGGATTAACACATGGAGCTACAATCAATTTTTGTTTACTCAAATAGTAGGATGATTTCAAAAATACATTGAGCCCCCAGCTGGATCAGGGGGATGAGTCACTCTCACAGAATTCAACAGTATTCTCTCTAGTGCCTTTGACTGAGCCAAAAGAATTAAAAAAAAAAAGAAAAAAGTTCAGTAATACTACCAATTATGTACTGGTACACTAAAATACTACCTACTCCCTAAGAAGCAAATGCAAATTACACGAAGCATTCTACTAAAGAAAGAATAAAAACTCAATCTGTTCCAAATACAATTAAAACTAGTAGATATAGCTCACTGTAACCTTAAACCAAAAAAAGATGGATGAATTAATGAAACAGCAGAGTACAATTATTTTTTTTTTAAAAATTAAATGTGTAAGGTTTCCAGTTGACATAACTTGCTCTGCACATTTCCCCCAGATAGGTTTTAAGTCCTCATTTTGGTTTACTCCTTTGTGGACTCTCATTTTTCACCATTTCCTATACATTTAGGAGTTTTATAATATTTAAAAATATGACTTCAAATAATTTTCAATCACAGCAACAAAATGACCATCACTTTCAATCTAAAATTTATCTGACTTTGGACTACTATAAAAGTCATCACTACACAGAAGACTTATGTCTTTGTTTCTCCATGTAAGAGACAGTAATACAGAAGACAATACCTATGAAATATTATTAGGTAATAGATTTTCAGTGTCAAACTCCAAAGCACATTTCCATTTTCTGTCAGAGTTATCATAAGAACTCAAAGAAGGCAAGAGGCACTTGCCATCACCTAAAAGCAAAAGCTGTGCAACATGCATGCATGGTTCTTCCTGGAGCTGAGGTACATTTTATAAAGGCAAGTTTATAGCATTCCTCCTTTGAAAAAAAAAATAAAATACGGCTTCAACAGCAGGAATGCCAAGATTAAATTAAAAAGATGGGAAAAGCCATTTCAAGTTTTCCTTGCTAATCAAAGAAACAGCAACTTCAGAGAGGAAGATAAAACTAATGAGTACATAGCTTAGACATAGTGTGACAAAACAGGAAGAATTGGTCCAAGTTAAATTACAGAACCACAGAATTGTTTAGGTCAGAAAAGACCTTTAAGATCATCGAGTCCAACCTTCAACTCAGCACTGCCAAATCTACCATGTCCTTAAGGCCACATCTACATGAGTTTTAAATCCCTCCAGGGATGGTGACTCTACCACTGTCCTGGGCAGCCTGTCCTTGTGGGTTTTTTACCTCCAAAAACACTGTACCTTCACAACTGTGTTCACAAGTAGAAGCAGCAGTTCATGATTTTCATGCAGAAATAGAGAAACTGCCAAGTAGCCTATAAAAGAAAGCAGCCTCCATTACTATTTTCAAGCAATAAGCAAATTGAAGATAGAAAACTTAAGATTGTCTGTAATACAAGAGTTAAACAATTATGAAAAGCTAATAAAAAACCCCAGTTGGATGACAGGTGCTCACGTTTTAAATATCAAGACTTTCTTTTATTTCCAGGCAAACCAGTTATATTCAAGTTGCAGTAAAGCTCAACAACTAAGAATTCTAAAGTTGTGAAAAGTAAGAGGTATTACAATAGTGTTATAGCTAAAAAGCAGTGAAGAGCACCATGAGAAATCACTTCCTGGAAAACCAGTATCTTCTCTGCACAGAGCAAAGTGTATTACTTTTAGACTACACAAAAAGTGCACTTCCACATGTTTCTCTTTTTTTACTGATAACAGAATTTCTTTTCAAACAAATTTTATATTCCTTTTAAACTAAAGGACTTAAGTGGGGGTAGAGGGAGTGTACCACAACTCATAGCAATATCTGTACTACAAAGACAGATCTTATAAAATTCTTGGTTCATTCAGGATTTAGGGATCAAAATTAACAACTTAGATATAAATCATTGTATTGCCTGGGTTATCAGATTGATCTACCTGCTTATGAGCCCATGGCATTGATCAGCTTAGCACGCACACAAAACCAGAGTTCGATCTCATGAATGGAGGCTCACATTGGGTAAACAAATAGTCCTTTGACCAACTCAACTGACAACAATTCCTCAAATACAAACTTTGGTATATTGCATCAAAAACTGACAAGATCATCCTCTGTATCACATATAAATGCAGAACAACAAAAAAGAAACCACCTCCCCCTATGTCCTCTTGATATCATCCTTTTACCAGATCAAAGTTAAGGGTATTCTTTGTTCAGACAATTTTAGGCCACTCATATTAAAAAAAAAAAACAAAACAAAAGAAAACAAAACAAAACACAAAAAAAAAAAAAAAAATTCTTCACCTAACCCTTCTCCAAAAGGTTCTCCACAATGACTCTTGACACTTGGAGAAGTCAAAGAGTTTTCTTCAAAACAGCTGAAAACCTGCCCTCCCAGGTTTGGTGACAACATTTCTCAATTCCCTACCAGAGCATCTGTACACTGGCTTTCACTACTCAGGGGAAAGCTTTAATTCATCACTTGTATTCTCTCAGAAACTCCAATACTTGGGTAGATGATCCAGATGAAATTCAAACAAAGGATATCAAACAAGCATATCCCGCAAGACATTGCCTTCCTTCTGTGTATGCAGACATGGTATTGCTTGAAGTTAAACCATTTTCTCTGCAAACAAGAAGAAATGTCTTCACTAGGCAGCTGAATCAGCAACTGCAAGGAAATTCTCCAGTGAGACAGGCTGAAAGATCCTTCAAACTAAATCTACTGTAAACAAGTTAATAGCCACACTGGCAGGCAAGGAAATCACAGTGGCATGAAATTTCAAAGAAATCTGAACTAAACTTCCAGATTTCCTCAGGAACTTCTGCTCCTATGCTATAAGGATCTCCCTATTTGCTTCGTTCCCTACAACTGTTTCCAAAGTAAAAGAAATAATAATAAAAAAATAATCCTACAAGCACCAAAACAGAAAATGTGTCTGACAGATGTCTGACATCACCATCTTTATCTACAGTACTTGAAAAAAAAAAAAAAAAACTTGAGAGAAATTCATTTTCTGCTTGATGTGTTTAACAAACATTCTCTTTAATTATCTGATTACTGGTGCTACAAATCAACACAATGAAATTGTGACGATTTAAAATAAAATTCATTTCCCCTGCCTTCTGTGCTTCAAGAACATACAAAGCACCACAGAAACTAAGGATTTAGCTAATTTCAAAAATTAAGAGACCATGATACAAGATCAAGAAAGTACAGGAACATTTTAAGTAAGTTGTGTTTTTAGATGGATTAGAAATCCTGAGAAACTTCAAAAAAAGAATTTGAGAACATTATTAAGGCTACAGTTCCAAGCACATACCAACTCTCTTCTCCAAAAGATTTCCTTGCTGTGCAAGCTTGATTGCATGGATATATCCAAAGGAAGACTCGTACCCCAGCATTTCACAGTAGATGAGTCTCACCATACATTCTTTCATGAGTCTCTGAAAAAGCAAATTTTAAGAGAATTTTAAGTCAGCTACGTATTATGCTCTTTTTCACTGCTCTGATGAAGCAGAGAACTGTATCTGACAGAAACTTACGTCCATTCACATGTTTTCTAAAATCAGGGAATTTGTGATTTTTCTTTACTATGAACCTCTTCTGAAAAATTTAATATTAATTTCTGCTATAAACTTCCCACATATGACCCTTTAAAAAAATTTTATTTTGACTAGCATGCATGTGATCAACAGTACATTAACTATGGCCAACACAAAGAATATGAATAACCAGACGCGTTCAGATGATCACACTGTTAATACAAACTATTTTTCATCATTTGCTACCCTGATCCAGGATGGTTTCTCATCATGCATAGATAAAACCTGACTTTTTCCCCTAAAAAGAGTCTCCTGTATGGGACTGAGACAAGCATTAACTAACTCAAATCAGAAGACATCATCTTCTGCAACTCAGATATGGTAACAGTGCACACAACAAAGCACAGCTTCTTAGGGAGCACAAACTAATTATAAGACCAACGTCAGCCTGTAAAGAACATGATTTGATGGAAGCAGTTCATCTGCTTTATTTCAGAAACTACAGAATGACAGATCCTTGGTGTCATACTGCTACAGCTTATTCACATCAAACAGAATCAGAGTGTTCTCAGTATTTTAACTGTGCTGCAAAATCACATGTATCGGTATCTTTTAATGCTGATATTAAAGGTCTATTATGCAGATAACCTGTACATCCACCTGGCAAAAAGAGTGAGAACACTGCTGTCCTTCACCTTCGGTGTACTGTTCCCACAGCCTGTAATAACCACTAACAGAACTTACAAGTGTTGTGGTGGGGGCTGAAACTGTTGCTTTCAAACTGGTTAGTTCCTGATGGATCAATTTTTCTTCTTCCTAGAGGAGAGAGTTCAAATCTCGCATATATTTCATAGGTAAAACATGTAACAAGAACCACAGAAGATGTGTTAATTTCAGTGTCCCCCACTCTTCCCAAAGCAGCGAGTGCCTCGCTCAGGGGCTGCTCAAGCACTGCAATGTGGCCGTGCCTGCCCGCTCCGTGCCCCCGGAGCAGCACAACGCGGCACGGCAAAGGCTTATTGCGGGATCCCGAGCTCAGCCAGACCCAGCTCGAGGGGACACACCGTGCCCGGGGCCCCCAGCCCAGCCCAGCCCAGCCCAGCCCCGGGCAGGGAGCGAAGCCCGGCCCGGCGCCCGCAGCCCGTACGTGCTTGGAGGTGAGCGCCGTGATGCTCCGGATGAGGCTGCCGAGCCGGGAGGTGGCCGACACCCTGGCGGGGCCGCCGGCACCGCCCAGGCCGGTGCCGGGGTCGTGCTGCCCCAGCAGCCCGGGCAGGGCGCTGAGAGTCCGCTCCACCACGTCGCTCATGCCGGACCCACCGCCCCGGAAGAGACGGGCCCGGGCGGCCCTTTCCGGGGCGGGCCGGGGGCGGGAGGCGCCGCCGCGCCCTGAGGGGCGGGGGATCCGCGGGCGGGCCCTCTGTCCCCGCGCACCGCCCCCGGCCGGGCCGGGAGGTGGAGCTGGAGCTGGAAACCCGCGTTCCGAGCGGGCTCTGGGGGCGCTGCCGGTCGTGCCGGGCACGGAGCCACCGCCGCGGCTGCTCCTGCTGGCAGCATCGCGGAACAAAGACATTTAAGGGTGGGTTACGAAAGAGCAGAGCGTAGCAGCTTATCACAGAATCAATGAGCGTGGAAAAGACCTCCGAGGTCATCGAGTCCAAATCTGTGACCGAGCACCGCGGTGTCAATTAGACCGTGGAACAAAGTGCGGCATCCAGTCTTTTCTTAAACCCCTCCCGTGGACAGTGCCTCCACCACCTCCCTGGGCATCCGGTTCCAATATCTAATCACCCCCTCTGTGAAGGAATTCTTCCTACTGTCCAACCTAAACCTCCCAAACAAGACAAATATTATTCCTAAAGTGAGGGTGGGAACACTGAGAGGTCGGTCTGGGCCGAGAGGCTCCCAGTGGGCTGTTCCTGAGGTGATTCCCGCTCTGCCGGCAGAAGTTTGGTCTCTTGGGAAGGTTTGCACCAGGGAGCTCCTGGGAACTGCCTCTGCATTTGCTGCTCTTGCAAGTGAAACAAAGGATCTCTTATCTGCGAACAGTAATGTTCAAAATTACAGGGGCTTCTGGCTCGCTAGATACCATTTTTGCCATTCTATAATGCTGTGCTTTTCAAATGAAGGTTAGCTTTCTGGCACTGTAGCTGAACAGGAGAACTTGCTGACACAAACTGAACAGAAGCCTTGTTACTTTTGGTTATTTGGTACCCAGAGAAGTGATTCCAATTAACAGAAAAAGCTCCTCCTTTCTTTGCCAGACACAGGCACATCCCAGCTCTGCTCTGACACAGAGTGACATGTCACCCTCTGGTCCGTGGCTGCTGCAGGACTGTGGCTGGGATGGAGCTGGGCATTCACTGGCAAAGTAAGGAAATGATCACGTGAAAGAAGGGTGACCAGTAACTTCCATAGATACTTCATATGACAAGGGAAAATGTGCCTCTAATCCATTTATGTTTACCTGATCTGTTGGGATATGCCCTTCCAAATATGGGTAATGAAATATTCAGCCCACTGCAAAAGATATTCAGATAGTCTCTGCTCTATTTTCTAACAGAATTGTTTTTCTCTCACTGTTTTTCTTGTGAACAAGGGGAAAGCATAGTGCCACTTCAATATGTGCGTCAGTCATCCCACCAAAGACAGCAGACTAAAATAACACTGTATCTATAGAGTTTTACGTGCTTAATTCCATTTTGGCAACCCACATATGCCTTTTCCAGTTACATATACTTTTCTGAAACAAAATTAGTTGACATTTTCTGGTTTGTATTTCAGTTCAAAGGTGGGTTGGTTTTTTTTCTAGAGAAGGTGGGGAAGAAACTGAAGTAATCCCTTCTGATCTATGTGTTTCCAAGGAAAAATTATCCCTTCATACCCAACATATGTCTGACCAGAAAATCATGCTGACCATTAGAAATATAAATTGGTTTATTATCAGAAAAAAAGCCAAAGAGGAACAAACTGAGATCAGTAGGTTTAAAAGTATTAAAAGTTGGTGTTTCCTTGAAGCTAAGGTGAAAGATTTGGACTGGTACCTTTTAAAGCACATTTTATGAAATTAATTGACTAAGAATATCTCAGTTAATAACTGCTCATGTAAAAACATCTTGTTATGTTGTAGAAGCCTGAAAAGCTTGTAAACTTTGCAGACCAAAAATGTAAGTTCAATAAGCATTGGAAAAGCTGCTGGTAAAGCTGATTGAACTTGAATAAATTCTCAAAACTCACTGGCTTTGAGTTTTTTCATTATTTTTATCAACTCTAGAATCATAAGTCCTTCTCTTTGCCTTAAGTGTTGTACAAATAAATGCTGCATGTAAAATGACTTGTAGAGCACAAACCCTTAGGCTTGTACGTGGTTAATTTCTCATACTGTTGATGATTGCATTGAAATCAAAAGGACTATTCATAGTGCATACATAAGTGCAAAATACATGGTATTGTCATCTGATGATAGATATACCTAATGCCTTGCATAAAGATCCCCAGTAAACCTTCCAACAATTTTTTTCTTTTTAAGCACTAGATTATTTACTATAAAATTTGCATAAAAGGATATAAACTGAGATAAAGTAGAAAATGCAAATCCAGAAAAGTAAGGAATGTCTACCACATAGGCATAAACTCGGCAAGGTAGGTTGTTGGCTTGTTTGTTTTTTTCCTGCTTTCATCTGCCTACTATTTTCATCAGCTAGATGAAAAACCTTGAAGTGTGGTTATAAAACAACTGCAAAAATAGCACTGAAAGGCTGAATTTCAGTTATTTCTCTAGGCTTGATATCAACTGCTCTCACCACAGTAAGAAACATTCTAATTGTCATTCCTGCAAGTTCTCCTTGGCATCTGATAGGCAAGCGGTATTCTTTCTGGCTCATGAATCATCACTGCAAATAAATAGTTCTAGAATAGAAAATGGGTTGATTGTGTATGAGCCAAAATAGAATCCAAAATAGAAGAGCTTATGCTCTGCACCGTGCTGCCTCTGTGCTGGGCAGAGGAGAGTGTAGTAGTAGATGATATAAATGGTGCCAAATGAAAACAGATGTAACAAGAAACAAAGGCATTTTACCCATTTTTTTTCTCTGGTGATTAAACCTATTTTGTCATAATTAGCAGAGATTATGTATTATCTGTCACATGTCACACAAGCTCACCATGGTACTAGTGAGGAGCTCAGAGTGCCAAAGCAGAGCGGGGCAGGGCAGGTGTGCTCTGTGCTCACAGCTGTGTCTGTGAGTGCGTTGCCTCTGCGTGTTCTCCATGAACAAGGAAAGGGGCCGTGTCCAAAGTTCTGCTGATGGTGTTGCAGGTTTCCAATTCTCTTCTCTCCCCGCCATCTGTCCAAGCCCCTACAGAGTCCTTCTGCATCACTCCTTGTTAGAGAAGCTTGGCAAAGCAGGAGCTTATTTAGTGCTCAGGAAATAAACCGTATGGATCTGAGAAATAGTATGGAAAAGATTTCACAGAAATAGAAACATTTATCACATAAACAGAAGAATATCCTGTAAAACAAACACATTTGAAGACAATTAGGTGTATCATTATACACAAAAAGCCATATGGAGACATATCACATAAACAGGTGTATTTTTGACCTGCACCTTTTTTGTGCTGTCTTCTCCAATGAAAGTTCCTTTTCTGATCTCACTGCTTTACAGCGACCTTGATTCCAGTAAGGTGAAAATACATTTATTGCTTTTGTATTGTACAGAGCTTTTGTCTGAATGACTAAATGTGCAGAGTCTTAGCAATGGATGCACATTTACAATGCATTGTGGGAAGCGTTTGAGTGGAATAGAAGTAAATATCAGGAAGGGTAAATGGAGAGAGAGTACACATTTTTGTAACATTGAGATCATTGAACAGGCAATGAACCATTGAATCAGTACCAAACTGGGATAGAATATAAAGCCACACTGAAGTAAGAATTGATCTTTTCATTTGTCTATATCAGCACTATCCTGTAGTTTTGAATTCCTGATGCTGTACATGCACATCTGCTAAAGGCGGCAGAGGAAAAGGTTACCCTATGCTTTACCCTTGTAGAAGCTGCCCACCTTCTGTGCTTCTAAAGTGAGGGAAGGTTCTGGTTAATGCAATAGTTTTCCTTGTACGTTACCAAGCACTGTGTAATTAAGGCTATTTTTTTCTTATGTACAACACAATGCTTGAAAGGTTTTTATCCAAAATATCATGTAATTCCTAACTCTGGTACAGCTCCAAGAATAGAAGCCTGATGATAGGTTAGGATCCTGGCATTATCAGTACATTTCTGAAAGTTATTTTCATTGCTCTGGATCTGTGGAAGACTAATATATAGAAGTGAGTCTGATGTAAAGTAGAGGGGTTTTTTCACTATTTCATCTAAATTATATGCAAAGGCTTGACTACGAAATAGTGGTTGCTAACAGGGGAAAAAATGCAATTTTTTTATGGCTTGTGGTCCAGTTAATTCCATTCTCCTATTTTTTTTGTGTGTTCTCCACAGCTTATACTACGGTAACATTATATATTGATAAGGGATTGAACAGTTCCACTGTGTTCCTGGCTCTCAGTTGTGAAAGCTCTGATCCTTTCCATCTCTTCACATAGCGTTTAGCCTTTTTTTTAATAGTTAGCAAGCATTGAGATTTCTAATAGTGAAGTGTTTTCAGCTGCCCACCGCATGTATGCATTTGTGACTACAAAACGATAAGGTCTTTTCTGAAGAAAAACCACCGTGATTTATTTTGGAAGCAGATCCTGTAGTTCTGAAGAGCTACCGCTGCGATCCTTTGTTCTGCCGTGAAACGGCGAAAATGTCTTCCCCCCGATCCCTAGGGGCTTGCTGGTGTTCTGTGCCTGCAAGGGCTAAACTTTAATATTAAAAATGTTGAGAATTACTGTCTTTTGATGGTGCCTATCGTCATCTGTGCTGCCTTTTTTTTTTAATCCTAAATTTTAAAAGAGCGAGACGTGCCATGAATAAACTTGTGAAGCCCTCTCTTTGTAGTGAAAAGGAAGACGATAAAGATTGATGACGATGCCTTTGCTGGAAAGGGATGAGGTAGATGGAAGCGATTCACAGGCCTCCCCTGAGGGGATGGATTCCACCTCTGCAGCTCCAAGGGTGGTGCAGCGCAGCCCTTGGGCTCTGAAGGCGCTGCCGGGGGTGGTCGCCGCCCGTTTCCGCAGCCCTGCCCGCCCCCCTCCGCGCACTCCCCGGCGCCCCGGAGCCCCCCGGCCGCTCTGCCCGGCCCCGGGAGGCCGCTCAGGGCCGCGGGAGCCGCGCATGCTCCGCGCCCGGCCCGCCCCCGATCCCTCCCCGCGCCCGGGGCGGGCGGCGGGGCCGGGCTCGACCATTTCTGCGGGCGCGGGGAGCGGGGCCGAGCCCCGGGCAGCGCCTTCGCCGAGCTTCAGCACCGCGGGCCGGACAGCGCCCGGCGGCCCGGGCGGCTCCCGCGGGGCCCCGCCGAGGGCCGCGATCCCCGCACGATGTTCCTCCGGCTGGCGGTCGCGGTGCAGGTGCTGTCGCTGCTGGCGAGCCGCGCTCACGGCTTCCCCAGACCCGCGGGCAAAGGTAAGAGCCCGCCTCGGAGCCCGCTCCGCGGGGCTGCGGGCGCGGAAAGTTCTGCGGGGTGGAGAGGGAGGGGAGAGGAAACTTTCCTTCCGCTCGGCGAAAAGCGATGAGGTCCCAAAGCGACAAAATTCCCGACACTGATCGCTGAAGTTGCGATCTGATGTTAAAGTGAAGGGATACGTGCCGGTGGAGGGAAAAAGCTCTGAATTTTTTTCAGTCTTCTCCACGCAGTGTTTTCATCTGTTCTACGGCGGCGACTGCAAGAGTCTTTCTTGCTCCCTGTCTCCCCCGGTATTCTGGATGGAAGCGATTTTTAATCTCTTGGTTGTGCCAATCCGATTATTGCTATTTTAGTCGATCTCTTCCGACGTTTTTCCCCAATTTGTGAGTTTTCTCATCAGAAAGAGGTTGCTGAGTCTGTAACTCTATTTCTATTACATCTTCTGCAGAACCTCTCCCTCTACCCCAATCATGCTTTGTTTAAATGTTTGACTTTTTAATTGTGTTCTCATTCTTCTAGGAACACTCTTATGTTTTTTGGTGTGGTGTTGGGGTTTTTTTTGGGGGGGGGGTTGTGGTTTTTTTGTTTGTTTGGGTTTTTTTGTGTTTTGTTTTTTGTTTTTTCAAGAACCAGCAGTTGGCATCCTATTTAAGACACTGTTTTATACGGGAGAAAACTATAATTTAAGGAAAAATGTGCCCTTTGTAGTTGCATGTGTCATATAACTGAGTATATATGTGTGTTTATTCTAGACAAAGCTATACACAACAGACAATTAAGTGTAGAAAGACCTTTGGAGGAACAGGTGAGTGAAAGAAAAAATATTTACAATTTTTTTTATGTTATGGTATTCCCATAATATTTTGAGCCTTTCAGGTACTAAATCCCTGAACATCCTGAGTTAAAAGTAGATATGTCAGTAAAGTGATTACTGGTGGTGTTGGATACAAAATATAGTTTCAACAATTTTTAAAATCTGGGATATGGAGTTTCACTGTGCAGCATTCCAAAAGCAGGTTGTTAGCTCCAACAGCTCACAGGTGTGTCACCCCTTTGCATTGACATCCTGTGGGAATATGGCTTTATCTTGGAATGAAGAAGAAAAATGTAACTGGCATTTATCTTAAAATGGGAAGTCTGTTGCAGCTTCTTGTAGTGTGTGATTCTGATCAGAGATGGGTGATACTGACAGAAAGTGCCTAGTGCTTAATCCTGTTCTACTTACTGAGGTAAACTTCTTCATAAGAGTGAAAATTACGCACTAAGGCTTCTGCTGATGTTGATAAATTAAGAGATTGCACATTTTATTCCTTCTGTCTGTTCTTGTTTTATTTTTGTATATTAGATCGCTGAAGCTGAGGCAGACAAGAATAGGAAAACAGCTCCCACAGGTAAAATATCTTGCCTGGTTTTATAGCAATATTCAGAATGGTATTCAAAGAGGTATATGGTTTCATGTTATGTGTGCATTGATATATTTTCCAGAAAATAAGCCAGAGTTCAGGAATTATTCCTTTGTTGATGACCTGAACCTGCTAAAATCAGTAGCAGAAAGAGAGAGGAATGAAAAGGAGAGGGAGTCAATTAGAAGCTCTTTGTACGAACAGCAACTGGCCATTGATGATGCAGACTCCACCAAGAACCGTAGGCTTGTGGATGACTATGACTCCACTAAAAGCGGGCTGGATTATAAATTCCAAGGTATTCTGTAATCATCTTTCAGTGACTTCTAGGTTAGACTTCTCTTGCAAAGTGATTGCTGTCAGGAATGTTGTGCTCAGCATCAAACGAGCTCTATGTGTTACTGGAGTGCAGTTTCAATTATTTCCAGTTGTGGAAGCTTGTTGTATTGCAATTAGGTTTTGAAACACAGTGCAAAAGAATTGCTCTCAATTTTCAGTCTTCTTCCTTGGAGGAAAATCTAACTGTGTAATTTGTATTATGTTTTTTAGCAGTTTAGGTTTGATGGAAGGAAAATGGGACATATTTTTAAATGAAAATATATTTATTCCGGTTTGAGAGGAAGAAGCACTTTTACATGCAGCTAAATCAAATATATTTATTCCAAATGTTATGTGCAGTGTTAGATAACTCTCCTCATCATAAAGCTAAAAGAAATTACTGAAGGCCAAAAAATACTTGCCTTTGCTAGAGGAGTGTTTAATTGATTTGTAGTTTAAGTGAGTCCTCTGAGAGTTGTAAGCAGCATTTAACTCAGGATATTTTTAATTATATCAAAGTATGCTGATCACAGACCAAAGCTTACTCATCATGTTCTCTCTCCCATTGTCATTATGATATTATTTGCCATAAGCAACGATTACATAATTAAAAGTTTATTTTCTGAAATTCAGACAAGATCAGGTACAGTTTGTCATGATTTGATTTCATCTAAGTGGCCATACAATGAAATTAGATACCAGGAAGGCACATATAAGTGTATATGGGAGCAGTGTTCTCTCATTCTTACAATTTTTTCTCCAAACAGAAGAGCATGCTCCTAACATTCACCTCTGCTCTTTCGAAAGAGCCAGTCAGAAAGACATTTTTCAAATGTGGAAAATGGACACAAAGAACTTTTCACTGTGACTGATGTAATGGCTTGCAAAGTGTGTATCAAAGTATAGCCCTAGTGTGTCTAAAAAGTGCAGCCTTGTTCTGAAGAGAAGAAGATGTGGGCAGATATTTTTTACAAGATGTTTAATCCAAATGAGTTAGGACAGTCAGCACACAGTTAAACTGTAATCCTTTCAGATGATCCAGATGGCCTCCATCAATTAGATGGCACTCCTTTGACTGCTGAAGACATTGTTCAAAAAATTGCTGCAAGAATTTATGAGGAAAATGACAGAGGAGTGTTTGATAAGATTGTTTCAAAACTTCTAAATCTGGGACTAGTAAGTATCTTGTTAATACTTCATTTGACTGTTTTGTGGGTTGGTTTAATGCTCTTTAAAAAAACAATTTGGACAAACACCCTGTGTAATACTGTCTTGATTGAAAATGAATGGCATTCAGGCTCTAGGCAATTTCTAGACTCATTTGGGCACCCTGGTTTAGTTCTGCAATAACACTGTTGTTCCTATGACGGCTTTGCAACAAAATAGGCCAAACTGCAGAATATTTCTGATGTTGAGAAAACATTCACTGATTGTACTCCTCGCTTGTCTGCCCTCATTCTTCCTTTAATTTCTCTTACGATTTTCACTGAATTCTTTTGTATTAATTTCTGTGTTTAAGGGGGAAAGATCTGAGCTCATTCTTATCCACCTACTAATTAGTGTCATCAGCAAACATATAATGTTGCTGGTTTGTTGAGGATATATTGTGTTACTGATTTTTAGCAAGATTGGATTTGTCTCTGACCTCTGGATGTCTCAGTGGCTTTAGCCATTGCCATATGGGATCTTAAAATCTTAAAATACTGGCCTTGTGTTTTCTGCACTAGATTTTGCAGTTAGCTATTTCATGCTGCACCCCACTGAATACAGAGGGAGCTGTGGGACAGATGCATGGTGGAGTTCTTTTTCAAGTGACAGCCATTACAAAGCAAAGACAAAACATTTTGATGATGCCATAGAAAGCTGTTTGCTTTTTTCCCTTCCTATTTCACTGCATTGTGTTGTAGTTATTCAGCTGTACATAGATGTGCTGCAGAACATACATACTTTATGTACACATTCATGTACACACATGTAGGGAGGTATGACACACTTACAGTTCAATCTTCCAAGCTGCACTCCACTGCGTTAAGCCCTAAACAGGTTTGTTTTCCTGTTGAAGGCTGTGTCTGTGGATGGGTGGGTTTTATGTACACACAGCATATTTGGTGTGTGTTTCTATCTGTATATGTGTATGTGTGTGTGTTTGTATAAATGTAGACACGTATACATTTCTATATATAGACATGTATGCACACACATTGGTGAAGATACTTCACCTAATTTGGCTGTGCTTTTTGTGAAGCAAACATATTTAAAGCAATCTGTTTGCAAAGCTCAGGTTTCATATTGATGTTTAATCTAGAAGAAGCACAGTATTCTATGAGTACTCTGCACAAATATTTCAACAGATCACAGAGAGTCAGGCCTATACCCTGGAGGATGAAGTGGCAGAGGTTTTACAGCAGCTAATTGCAAATGAAGCAAAGGATCGTGAGAAGGAGTCTGAAGATTTTGATTACCCTGCAAGCAGAGCAGACAGTGATACAAAAGAAAAGCAACAGGAAAGAATGGTAATTTCTTAGCTAATAATTTTGTCTTCCTTGCCAAAAGGTACTACTAAACCAATACACTGCTTCCTTTAGGGAATAATTAGTTCAGTCTGGAAACTAAAGTTGTTCTTAAAGAAATTCTGTTAGATACAAAAACGAACCGACAGTTACTTTGGGGTTTAAGCCAGACTTCAGATTGAAATAACTTTGAGAAAATGGTATAGTCTTCGCCTTGCAACTGGGAACATGTTAGCATGAGGTTATGATACAATTTCTTGCTCTAGTAACTATATCACCAAAAGTGTTTATAGATATCTTCTTTTATATCTTATGTGAAGACACCAAGCAAATCTTATCAGGACAGTGTCATTAATGGAGAGGTTGATGATACACTGGATAACACGTGGTCATCATCTAATATCTTGGAAAGAAGAAATGAGCTGCCTTCTGAAGATAATTTTGAAGATCTCCAATACTTTCCAAATTTTTACGCACTATTAAAAAGTCTTAACTCAGGTGAGCTCATCATGTATTTACAGAATTATTTAGGAAAAAAATTAAAAAATTAAAATTCTCTGTGTTTTCTCCTACTCTTTTCCCTTTCCCACAACTTCCCTAGTTGCAAGACCATGTGCTTTGAAAATGTTTTCTAAGATGTGTAGCAGAAACTAAGTTGATTAGTGATTTTGATGGCAAAACATTGGCAGGAACAGCACTCAGAACTGCAAAGAGTGTGACCTAGGCAGCCCTTCCCATTTTGTGCTGTGTGATGCAGGAATCCTGAATTCTTTTCATTCCCGTAAGGACATGGTGAAAAACTGGCAAACTGTTTTCTCCAGGGATCATTCCAGTAACATCTGTGTCTTCAAAGCCAACGGAGGTACAAGTAAGCCACAGCAGAATCCTCACAGTGATGGTACCAGTAAATGAGCCTGAGCCTTCCAGCCTTTTCACAAACCACAGTTTGCTGTTTATTGCAGTGAAAGCTCTGCACGTCTCTTCCTATTCCGGTGCTGGACATCATTGCCTTCCAGTCATTGCAGGCAGGACGGTGGCACCTCGCCACAGCCCCTTTGTCAGCACCCACTCTCTGCAGCCACACACACACACACACACACACACACACTCTTACACTTATTTGTGTGTATATGTGTTTACTCTGTAGATTCCCTGTCCTGCAGGAGCCTTAATATTGCTTCAAATTGTCCCCCTAAACACCTGAGTGGAGAGCTAAAATGAAAAACCTGAGGACATATTTTGTCCAACCTACAGACTTCACATTCTTCCTGTTCTTTTCATTTTCCATGGTGGTTTTGCATGCTAGCTCTTCTGTTTCTGCTCACAAAGCAGAAAGGCATGTTGGGTTTAGCAGGTTATCAAGCAAATCGAGCCAGGTCCCACTGGCTGCACATCCCTGCCTTGCCTCCTGCTTTATGCTGTTCACCTGTCGGGTCATATCAAGCTGGAGGAGAGGGATTTACTTGCACCCTACAGCTGTGTGTTAAATTGCAGGCAGCAATAAAAAGCCTGTTCAGCAGCTCTCAGAGTGGCTGGACCTCTGCCAAGTCTGGGAGTGTGTTCATGGCCATCCCTGACTGACAGTGCCCCTGGATCTGTCAGGTCCTTCTGTGGTAATGTGGGGAGTGGGAACAGCTTGTGCAACTCTGTGATGGGGCAGTTTCATGCTGCTAATGCAGAAATAGCAGTAATATTGTTCAGCAAGTAAACACAGTGGGAAAAGAAAAGCTAAAAAATGGGTAAGTGTGGGCAAGAATGGATTTTTATAATAAAAGTAATTGTTTGTATCACTTCCTGAAGTCATGATCCTCTCAAAGTAATGTTACTTTGTCCCGGTACATGAGTCATGGACTTGTGCGTGGTAACAATCTCATTTGAAACACTTTATATTTTTATCATCAAACCCATGGATCTTGTAGGAGAAAGGATCTCTGAACTCATACAGAGCCAAACTGGTCTACAAAATAGTTCGCAAACAAATAAAAATGAAAGAAACTGTAGAAAACTCGACCCTCTGGTCAGCAATTAGGACTGTCAGGTCACTTCATCTCAGTGTGTTTAGTGTTCTTAGCTGTAAAATGGAATGAATACCATTGGCCTTCCATAACACAGCCCTTCAAGACGCAAAGCTATAAAGAAGAACTAAACCCTGAAGTTTTAAAGTATATTCAGCTGTACTTTGCAGGAACAGTTTATATATGAGTTCTCTTTGCTAATCCAGCACAGCATTTTCTCTTTCAGTGAGTAGGTTATTCTTTATGCATGAAGTTTGCAGTTTGCAGCACTGAGTTTTCCATGTTGGCTGATATCTCTGACTGGTTTTGCTTCATCCCCTTACACAGAGACGGAGACAAAAGAGAAAGAGACCTTGATAACTATCATGAAAACACTGATTGATTTTGTGAAGATGATGGTTAAATATGGAACAATCACACCAGAAGAAGGAGTTTCCTATCTGGGTGAGAATGTGATTTTGTTACTTTACCAACAATGATAGTTATCTTCTCATCTTCCTTGATCTTATAAAACCTGCTTCAGCTTTGTTCATTATAAATGTTTAAAAGTTGTACTTATAAATGATTGGTCATTCACTATAGCATGTTTAATTCCATACTGGTTTAATATTTCCATCTAATGAAGGGAAGGTAATTTATCAGATATGTATTTAGAGGATTATTACACTTTCACACCTGTGAAACACAATTGATTTCAATGACTTTATGTCAGGGGAAGATCAGGGTTTTCTGCATTCTGTTGAGGTGAATCAGGTACCTGCATTTTCAAAGAACAATCCAGCACTTCAGCTCCTTTAACCTGTCACATCTAAGTAGCCAGAATAGATTGTTGTCTACCAAGTAAAACTCCTTCCATCTATGAGTGTTACATTTTGGCACAGGAGTAGGTTTTGAAGCACTCTTTCCTGGACCCATTCTAGAGTCTGTGGCTATGTAGGTTTTGTAAAATTGCTGTAATTTCCTGACGAGGGAATTTGCAACAGCCTGTTTTTGATCTTGTTTTGTTTTGTGTCTCACACACCTTTCCTGGCTTTGACAAACTCTCTTCCATTTGCTGTTGGTAGCCTTTCTGCATAAACAAGGAGACCTACAGGAGAAGGGCTCATCTGCATAAACCCTGCACAACCCTTTCATTTTTCTGAAGTATTCCCGGTCTGGCTTAGTCTGAAAAGTTTTTGTTTACATCAGGGCAATTTCTCAGCTTCATAAATCAACCTGTCACAGAGATAGGACTGGCAATGATCTTTCATGGCTTCTCCATGATGTCTGATCTGGGCTGTTGCAGATACATGATTGATGGATGCAACTGTAACTGTACATATTGCTTATCAATTACTTGGCTACAAAAGATCCAGTCCATCATGACTCACATTCAGTACGTGATTGCACTTCCTCTCCAGAGAATTCATTATATCTCTGACCAAGACTATCCTTCTATCTTCCATGAGAAGTCTTGAGTTTTGGACAAATTATGCTACAGTTCAGCTCCTTATTTCTCTGTCCTCCTGTGCATTTAAAGAAAGATGTACATTAAAAAAATGGTGGATTTTAAGCACAGTGGTTTTAGTGTCATTCTACAAATGAAGATAGTATAACTTGAGCAGATATTGCCCTCACTGATTGCGTTGTGCCAAAACTTAATAGGCCACACTCATCCCTGACACAAGGCCACTCAGATAATGGAATTACACCAGGGATGCATTTTTCCTACTAAAATTCAGAGCAGTTGTTCACATTGGCTTTACTTTGCGTAAATAAATACTGTAACCCTGGAAACAAATTGCCACCATGACACAGTATAGGAAGCAGGGATTAGGTTAAGAGTTTCAGAGGTCTGGTTTAGTCTGGATTTAAAGTAAGACTATCAACTGATGTACCCAGACTCTGCCTTGCAAATGAGTGATTTATGCAGAGATGGATTTTTTGCTCCATCAAAGGAACTTACTGTAGTGGAAAAGCTTTCTCATAGGTCTCAAGTTGCTTCTGTGGTATTCTTTTTTTAGACTTGCTGTTGAGAAATTACTTTAAAGCTGACCTTCATTTATTGAACTAATATTGTCAAATGCTCAAGGAGAGCATCCACAGGAGCTTGTTAGCTTCTTGAACTATCCTTAAACATGGCAGCAATTTTATTGCCACTCTTATTCAAGTAAAAGTTACATACTAAGTTATATACTATATACTAAATAATACCTCGATACATACTGTGTATCTTGGTGCAGGTTGGGTCAGGGAATTGATGCCCAGCTGTTTTTATTTATAGCAGATAAAGGAATTAGTATGAATATGTCTCAGAGAGAAGAATCAATTTTAAAAATTGGCAGCTTTTTGTTGTTCTCTCAGTCCAAAATCAGTGAACAGATTCCATGCTAGTTGGCACAATATACCTACTGGGTCAGTGCAGATGGATTATATTCTCATTCCATTTTGTTAAAGTAGGAAACTGCCTAAGTTAATTTTTCCCACTCTGTGTCTGAAGCTGTGCATAAACCATGTCTGTGAATTATACATTCAAAAAAATAAATCATTTATTGAATCAAGTCACAAGCCTTTTTGCCTCTCACAGGGGTGCAGAGACAGTGAATTTGAATGCATATACCAGTAACAGCTGGCTTGGGATTTGGAAACCACAGCATTATGTCATCATTGTATCTTACTCCAGGGGAAAGTATTTTCCTGCTGCAGTGACTGATGTTATTAGGTTTAGCTTTAAGTTACAAAGGATCTAGCTGCAGTGTGGTGCAAGAAAAACACTGATGCACAAACATGAAAATGCAAGGAATAACTTCATTTTTTAATACACATATTCAATATTACATAATACATATTTAGAAGCTTTCCATACACTAAATGTAATCCATAACAGAACACTGGAAGCCAAACCCAACATATTCATATATATGAAAGACAAGAAAAAGTAATGCTTACATTTTCCAACATGTTTTCAGAAAGTATAGCTCTAAAAGCATTAAAGAGAGACTTTAACTAACTGATATAAAACGTGTGTTCAGCTGAAATGCATCATGTTTGATAATTTCCCTGCTGTGGCAAAATGCCACTATTTTCCATCACTCTTTAATTTCTTAGCTTCTGTATCTTGATGTACAGGGAGCAAATTCTCCTGTGGAGTCAAAGTCTCATGTTTCAAGCCTTCTCAAAGGCTTTCATAAATTTTTCTAGAAAACCCATGTGCCCTTTGAAGATTGAAAGCTGCTTTAAAATCCCTTTTGCAATTAAAAGAATGGACAAGCATTATTGGTATAGAAAGCATAAGGTAATAAATCATGACACAGGATCACAGTTACACAGGTGGCTTATGAATGAGATCCAACTGTGGTATCACTTTACCCAGCTTTGGGTTTGTTGTCAGCATCCAGCAAGTGCTGCCCAAACAGCTGAATTCCCCTTGCTTGCCTCAACCTGCTGGAGGCACAGACTGTTATCACTGAACAGGCTGAGCACTGGGAAGGACTTGGGACAGTTACTGAAATGATGTGGCTGTTGGCAAGGGTGCAGCGACAGAGTGGAATGGAAGAGTTGGAATAACTCCACACAGTGACCAGCAGAAAGCAGCAAGAGGCTTTCAGATAAGTTATGACTGATTCAGCATAAAATAGTTCATTATTCATGGCACCCATATACTGTTTATGTTGCATAAATAGCTGATACTGATACTGATGCATAACCAGCTGATAGTCCATGCAGAACTGAAAGGAATGTGTCCTTCACGGTGCCGAGTATTGAAGAGAAAAAGTGCTGTTTGAGCCAATAGCAAAACTCCCTTTGCTTTCAGCAGAGCAGAATAAGCCATGCATTGCACAGATACTTGTACTGTCTGAATATTAGTTTGTGAAGTATATCATATTTCATTTTCCTTCTGTCTGTTGTGTAATGTCATGGTGGAGATTCACTCTGATAGCATTTCTATCAGAGCCATCTATCATAGACCACATAAATATTATGTGAGAAGCTTCATCTACACCACACAAAGAAGAGGAATTTTTTGTATGACAAGTGACCTTTCCTATGTATGCCAGACTATATAGCTAGTTTTAAAATGAAAGCATATAGATCCACTACAATCCTGGTAAAAGCTCTATTTTTAGTAATTACGTAAGGTAAACCGTAGTTTTTAAATGCATTTATTTTGATAATATTGTTGTCAGCTTAGAAACAGGAATAAATGCTTTCTGCCAGTTTGTTCGGGTACATTTGAAAATCGGCTCCACTAATAAGATTTTTAGAACCATTCTAGGAAATACTTGTCATTAGAGGTTTGTGGACCATAACAAAAATAGAGCTTTCAGAGATGATAGATAAATTCTTAAGAGGCACCAGTGTGTATATATGAATTCTTTTTACACAGTACATTAATTATATTCTCCTGCTGTGCTCTGCTTACAAGAGTAAATTAGTAGCAAATTTACCCACTGCCAACCCAACCAAATGAAAGTTGTCTTATCCAATGAACTATTACCCTAGAAATGCAAATTAGCTACATGCACATTATATTCTTGTGTGGAGTTCTCATTTATTGACTAGTACATGTGACACAAACTTTTGCCATCGGTACTTCTCTGTCTCACAGATACCATAGAAACTTTGCCATGACACTGCATATAATGCATATTTTATCACATCTTATGACTGACGTTGGTCATTTTGTTTTCAGTTTCTAAATCATGGCTTCTGTATCTTCCACAACTGGAGAAAAGAAAGGGGCAAAGGACTTGGAAGAAAATTAGGTTTAAGAACTATGTAGCCTTGCTTTCTCTGAAGGGGATCGCACTTTTCACCTCCTGGCAGTAAAGCATTCAGATTGCTGGAGCCACAGTGTACCACACACAGCCCACAGCAGACTGGTTGGGAAGCAAATCCCCCCTTATTTAGGAGGGAAACAGAGAAATGGCTCCAGCTGATCAGTGTGCAGTGTTTGAGTCACAGCTGCCTTCCTCCATAGACCAAACCAAAGCCACCTCTCACACCTCCTCCCTTTGGCTCTGACTCACTGTCAGAATCCACACTGTCCCCCGTGACTGAGTAGGAGACTGTGTTGATTAGAAATGAGCATGAACAGATGTCTCTGTTTACCTTTTCCACCCCCATATCATTTGTTCTTCGTGGACAACAGGGAGGAACAGCGAACTGCAGGAGGTAGTAGGAACAGGGAGATGGATGGGTCATTGGTGAACTCTGGCCGAGGTATATGAACACTCATTACTTTGGTCCTTTTCTAAAGAACTGCTGGGATATTGTTTTGCTATAATACTCTCTTTTAGGCAGACTGAGGCTGCATGGAAAAAGTCAGGTGAAACAGAAGGGGCAGAAAGCTTCCTATGTTGATTTTTAACATGTCCCTGCCTCTCCATGCTAAGGAATATGAAATACCTGTTCTTCCTCTTGCATTCATGCTGTGGTGTCCTCCACAGCTCCACTTGTGGTGA